GGCATGACTGTGGTCGGTATACCTATGTATAGGAACCTAGGAACGCACTGGACTTTGACGTTGCTGGGATGTCTTGGGGTGCTCACGGTGCCTATTCCGTATGTGCTTTACCGGTATGGACCGAGCTTGAGGCGGCGTAGTCAATGGGCTGTTTAAAAAAGCGTGTTGAGAAATTCTACTATTTACCTCTTTTGAAAGTTCAATATTTGGAAATGGTTGTGACTGAACTCCACGGGCACAGGATAACAACGCACACACCAACGATATGATCTTCATATCTTCACAACCCAAGCACATACGTCCATAGGAAACTGGATCACCGAAACCCGTCCGTTCTTCTGTAGTTAAGCAGTTTACCGGCGAGCTAGTAGTCAGGTGGGTGACCACTGGCGAATCCCCGCTGTCGTATGTTTTTGTCGGTTGTTTTTTTGGTGTCTGAAGAGGGGCGTACAAGCAACTCGTACAAATCTCCATCTTTTTGGTCTTGCAAGCAAACGCTCACAGGTAGGCTGGGTGTTAGAAATAGGCTGTAGAGACTAATGATCCGTTCATATCATTGATTCGGGTATCCATAATGACAATGCCTACTTCTTTTGGTCCACTACAACGCACCCCGATACGACTAATCCAATTACGCTACAATAAAACTCCAGACGCCCTTGGATCTTCTATTACAGAAAATACTCGGCAGCCTCATTGTGCGATCTGCGCACAACGTTGTTTGTGAGTAAACCGCCCATCAAGCCCAAGTCCCTGATTTTTGCCTTCTTCACGGCAGCATCCATTTCATGCCTGTCCTAGAGGAAGTAGTCCGCAACGGGCTTCTTCGCCGGCATACCTCTAGAGTCTTGGGGCGCGGCTTCAAAAACGCGGTATCTTCGCCCTGGGCCATCTCTGTTCTTCTGGAAGTTGTCGTTGAGCATATTGCTCAAGCGCCTCTCACCATTGGGTCCAGCGTTGGAGCCGAGAACCCAGCCTCCACCACCTCCGCCTCTATCTCCGTTTGATCTCCTCTGGTAGCCGGCGTTGGAACCGTCCTCGCCTAGCTCAAGGATGGCGGCTACATTACCGCAGCGGTAGCAGTAGTTGGGCGCCGACCAAACCGTTACAATGGTGGAATCAAACATCTCCTTGAATCCCTCCATAACGAGCTGGTGGGCTCTTGCGATAAGACTAAGATCGTTCTTGTGGTTAAAAGTCTTGACAATGTCTGCACCAAACAAGAAACCTGCGCCGCGTGGTGATAGACCCCAGCCATCTATCTCGTCAGGATCAGACCAAAGGAGGTCGCACATGGCCCCCTCGTGGGGCACTTCCTGTTTTCGGTCGAGTAGTCGGATCTTATCGACTGAATCAACGAGGGGTGACAGACCGCCGTGTACACAGAGGATAGCGCCTGTATCGTTGCGCGCAGAGCCGTTGGCTGAGGATGTTGCGCCTGTGCCTGCAGGGCCAACGCGTCCCGGAGTTTGAGAGACGGGCGACGACGAACCCAAGTTCCCGCTCATTTGCGATGCGGCGCTCGAGTGGGAGTCTGAGTTGCGAGCGTAGCGGTACATGACCTCGCCGCTTGCGTTCAAAGTCTCAATCTCAATATCCTGGTCAATGTCAGGCATATTTTCCGCATTGCTGGATTCTGCGATGGGCCCATCGGTGGCTTGGAGGGACGTCGCAGCGCCTTGGACAAGAGCTCCAAGAGCAAGGTAGTCGAAGACTTCACAGCAGTATCTGTTACACGTCAACTGCCATTCTAGCAAAATTTCAGCTTGGCGCCGTACCTCCAGACGTTTGCGCTTCCGTATTTCCGCAGGCACTCATCATAGAAACCGTACACTGTTGTTATTTGTCTTGATTCGTGGTTGCCTCTGATGAGTGTTATTCGGTCTGGATATCGGACTTTGAGGCATAGAAGCAGGAGGAAGGATTCGAGGGAGTAAAAGCCGCGGTCGACAAAGTCACCTGCAAGTTGGTCAATCAAGGCATTGTTGGTGCCATAGATAGCGCTCCTCCATACCCATGAAGAGATAGTTTGTGTCTGGCACGTCTCCACCAACACGGAATAACTCCATGAGATCATGGAACTGTCCGTGAATATCACCGCATATCTTTTGACATGACAAGGTTAGCTGTGCCGGCGGAAGATGTTGACAAGCTGCCTACCGTTACTGGCGCATCGACTGCCACGACGTTGCCCTCTTCAATAAGCAGCTCACGTGCTTTGTAGCATAGCTCTCGAACTTGGTTCTCAGGGATAGGTCGACATGCGCGGAGTTGCTGAATGGCTCTATAATCGCTGTCAGTACCGTACTCTGCGTACACATGCTGAGGCTCAGTGGCTGGCCGTACTTGTCGAGGTCGCTACCGCCAGCGCTCATGGTGACGGTTCTGCGCTATGAGCGCACGTAGTGGTGCCTTGAGAAGCAAACGTAGGGATATTGGGACAACGGACGCAACGTGTGGTTGTTTGCAAAGCTATATATCTCGAAGAATTCGGTGGGGGCGGGTGCTATCGCTGGTGGCGGAACGCGTGCAGCGCGTGGCTATCTTGCAGCCAAGAGGATTGGTTGGTGCTAGAGATGCTCGTGTAAGCTTCTTCGTGTAAGAATGGTATGCGTATATCGATTTGAAGCTGTTCAGTAGCTGTGTAGGCGCATAATGGTGGGCTGGTGGTATCGTGTATAAGATCCACAGCGGGTGTTCCGACATGCAGGGATCAGCGTTGAGCCGTGCAGCTAGTAGCTCGGCTTTGGACCTTCCCTCCACCAAAAGTCATTCATCACTAGCAACCCCGCGCCCACCGCTCCCCCGACGTCTACGCTTGCTCGAGGCAACTCAATTGGCCTCGTGTCGTCTCTCTCGCTGCTTGTCAATTACTGCGACGCTGTTGACAGCCCACCAAGCCCCTCAATGCCTCTGCAATCCGCTCTCTAATTTGCACACCACCCACCAAACATGCCTCCTCACCTTCACCCACGGTCGCGCATGACGACTTCGCTCTTTACATCGACTCTGATGATTTCATTCCTCGTTGTCGCTGCTCCACACATCTTGCCATGCCCCGTCGATCCGCGCACACTTGCCGACTCAGCAGACCCCACAGGAGAAAACAGAAGGCGGCGTAGACGGAGAATATCCGATGGCGAGATCAATGAAGACAACTTGAGCGAAGAAAGGAGGCGGAGGCAGCTGATTGAGGAGAAGCTGGCAGCCAAGCGCGAATGTCCCGTCCCTAAGCCTGGTGGGCTGATTGGCCAGGTCTTGGGCGTCCACGAGGAAGACCAGAAAGAACAGCAGCCGTCCATTGTGCAGAGGGTAGAGAAGGCGATATGTAGGCCATGGGGGAAGACTGGAGATCAATAATGGGATTGGGGAGGAAAAGTAATACACCGGATCGGGCATGTCAGTGCGCCACAAGAGCGGAGTGTGAAGGAATTGGTGAATGTCACATACCTCACTCAATGACCAACTATACCACTGCAATTTATGTGCAGAAACCACGAAACTACAAAAAATGGTTGCATTACAATGTAAATAAGAGGATATTAGACCCCATAACGTGTCAACTCAACGCAGATTCGCGTACGGAGACTACTTGACTAATATGCACGATTCTTGGAATAGCACGTCAATCACTATATGTACACTCAACGGCACCGATCGTACCAAGACTGAGGCCCGGCCCGTGGACATCACATGGCAGTGCGTGACAAAGGAAACGTGATGGCGCGTCGCATAGCGTGAACGCACTACGTCATCAGAGACAGACGACAACACCTCACCAACAACGATTCAACTCTCCCATGGCTGTCTACGTGTCCACCAAAAGACTACAGCCCCCACCAAATACACGCCCAAGATGCCTACCGAATCCCTCACCAAAGCCCAACGCATGACGTACCGCATCGGCCGCGGCGAAACCGGCGTCCTAACCTTCGAGCCGTACAAATCCTCCATCCTGCCTCTCTGGCGCTTCAAAACTCCTTCTATCGCGCACCAATCTTCATCTGCAATCTACAAAAAGTTCCTACACTACAACGACGAGGACGACTTCATTGGCATGGACATGGCGCGTAAGTTCTTGCAAATGGGCATGACGCGTGCGAAGAGGTACGCGAATCATGCTGGGGGTAGAAAGTATGATAAGAAGACGGGACGGGAGTTGGAGAAGAGCATAGGACATGTGGGTATGAATGAGAAGTTGGAGGCGAGTGAAGTGTTTAGGGGTGTGTGGGAGAGGGCAAAAGCGCATGAGGGGTATCAGATGAAGAAGGAGGCGTTTTTGAAGGAGCAGAAGGAGTGGGATAGGGAAAGGAAGAGGGAGGTGAGGGAGTGAGTGCTTAACTTCGGTGTTGTATATACTATCTTGATTCTTCTGTGCTTTTGAGACGAGGGGTTGTCGTTGGATGGCGTAACTGATGAGTTACTATTCTTTTGTATCCTAAATTTGCTCGAGACTTGAGTTAATGTTGTTACATGTCAGCATGTCATTTGTAGATTTATCCGTGTAATCTATAGTATGAGATATGTTGAATACAGTCTTTCTTATATCCACTACATGGAGCGTAAAACGATTTGAAAAAAAAACATAATAACGCGCAGCAATCATCATTCCCCCAAAGCGATCCAAATGCGACAGAAAAACCACAACTTCACTTCCTCTCACTTCCAACAAAGCGATAAAAAGGTTTGACGCGTAAATACCCACCACACCCGCGTACACCATTCCAGCGAGAAATTAACCACTCACACAATCAATCTACATGATACACGACACAAAGCAAAGACCCCAAGAACACCGCTCAAAGTAAGCAAACGCTTTCTCAGAGCTCCTATACGACCACCATCGATTCAAGCTCAAGCATCTCAAAGCCCATTGCAACAACAATGCACCGCCATCCCATAACTACCCAGCACCAGCACCGGCATCACCATTCAATCCCAAACATATCAACACGAGAAAAGAGTCCTCCATATCTACTGCATGTCCCTGCTTCGTACCCATACACACTGAAAAAACTCCCCCTTTTACCACCACCACCACCTCCTCCTCCTCCTCCTCCTCCTCCTCCCATCTGATACCCCTACACTCAAAACCCAGTGACATCCAACAAAAAAAAAGGGGGGGGGGGGGGTGGGCGAGAAACGTCAATGCACGCACAGCACCACACTTGATAAAATTAAAACATTCACGGCCCTCTTTTTTTTTCCACATTAACATTATATTTTAATCGCTATTAAGTAACTATCATCTTTCCTATGATTAACGTTGCTGCTTATCATGTGCATAACTATAGCTCCCCGTGATTACTACTAAAATATCACAACAGCAAACCAAGGACTACGAAATGAGGATAGAAACGTCAATAATAATAATAATAAAAGGAAAGAAAGGAGAGATACAAGGAAAGAGGTAAAGTAATATCAATCGCTTAGGGGAGAAATTTCCGATTACGGAAGTGTAAATTGTGGTGGTGGGGGGTTTTTTAAGGTTGGTGCGTGAAGGGGGTATATGTGAATGATATCGGGGAATTTTATAGTTTGATTGGTGGGTAAGGTGTGCCGAGAAAGAAAAAAACAACAAACGATCATTTCATTTGTATACAGAGATAAGGTTTTTTGATCAGATGGTATGATATACTTAACATTGCAGATACCTAAAAGGGTGACTGAGAAAGATCACGTCAGGGCGGGCAAAGTGGTGTTCTTAGTAAGTAAGTAGTAGTGCATATAAACTCGAATCCCTGAACCCTTCTGGATCACCTCCCTCCCTTCCCTTCCCTCTCACCCCTCCCCATGACTGGCAGTCTGTGCCAAAAAAGACACCAAATGAGGTGATTAAGCTCCGACCCTTGCCTTCCCACCCGTCGCCTATGTCACTGGGAAATGAATAGCTTTGTGGGCGGCGATCGCATTAGAACATCCTCGTGTTCCATCCTTGCACGCTTCCTTTTCCTTCCCCTTTAGCCAAGGAAAAGTGGGTTCTGGGAATATTTTGTGGGGCTCTATGTGAAACACACGTTTTTTCCTAATTGACCGAATGACGTAAATACTCTTGAAAGTAGGTCAGCAACGAAAACGAAAATCATGTTTCTGTGCTGTCGTATATGATGATATCATCCGTTGGTCAGGCCACGCAATGCAATTAACCTAGCAAGTGCTGCACTCGAGAGGGAACAAACTCGCAACAAGCCAAGGAAGCCCTGAAAAAAAAATCTCGCGGGAAGCAGGCGTCCAGGAAATTGCGTTTCTGCCATTGGGCCCTGATGCAGCGCAAAACCGAGAACATGTGGGGTAGCATCATTATTGGTAGAGCGGGAGAGCACGCCAAAAAAGGGGCAGGAGCAGCGAGGTGGATGGGCACCGTGCACCAAAGACGCAAGTCGCTATTCCTCCGATCATAGCCACGACGAAATCTCCGCGCTATAGAGACAATATCCCTGGAGCCGTCAAAGTGTTAGCATAAAGTGGCCTTACAAGCCGCTGAGCCGAAGGCGTGTGCGTCAGAAGCGGGTGCAAGGCTACAAGAGATAGTGCCAATCGTCAACAACTTTACCGCATGGAGTAGTCTTATGTGCTCCAATATGTTTCATGATTTGTACGTCCTACTCGCCTGTGTCTTTATCGGCTGACAAACCAGTCGAGGCAGTCATGCTTGGTTGTTGCGTTCGTGGGCTGAGAGGACTGCTCGTGGGGGTATGGACTCTAACTTTTTAGTGCTAGCAGTATTAGTGCAATAACCTCAAAGCTGATAATGGCAAGAAGACGGGGGCATTGATGATACGATGGATTCTTTCGCGTGCTGGCCATGTGAGTGCTCCATCGAGTCTTGGATTGTAGTGCGAAAAGCGTGGTCGAGTAGTCGTTTCGCATGTACGTCGTGTCTTTTCAAGCCTATCCAGTGGCTAGTTCATCTGCAATCTATGCCTGCTCCTTGAGCTTCTCTTCAATCTCTTCCAGATCCTCGGCACTATCAATTTCAATGATGCGGCCAACTTCACTTGTGTTCCGCATGAGCTCTTTTGCACCCGCGTACAACATCTTGACCTCGCTGTTGCACGTTATGGGGAGGTAGTAGAGCATGACATACGGCACGGACAATCGTCCAGAGTTCTGTTTGTCTCAGTGGTTTGTTTTAGTGAGTCATGTCGATGGTAGGCATACGAGTGTCAACGGGTAGCTTAGAAGCACGAATCGGGGAGCATGGTCGGGAAGCTCGTCTGCAAGGGACTGGACGTCTGAGTAGACCTCGCCATCTACCGGTCGTATCTCGAGCGTCTTCTTATCGATCTCGTCTGGCGCGCAGAGGCGTCAGCGCCATTATATGGTATAACAAGCCCGTGTGGCGGCCTCGGTAGGACTGCTCTGCGGCAAGGCAACTTGTGGTAGACATGATAGAAAGGTCACTTGAGCATACAGATGACAGCTTGCGGGTCTTTGGCTCGACTTGTGCCGAGTCGGAATTTTCGTAGCTTGGTCTTGGTCTCGTCTGAGAAGGTGTAGAGTCGTGCTTCCGAAGACTGGCCGAAGGATTAGTAGATTGTCTAGCCTGGCGGCATGTATAGCGGCAAGAGCACTTACCATGATGTTGCACGATAAGCGGGAAGAATGCTAGAGTTTGGTAATTGTTTGTAGGTGGTGTGAGACTGATGGTAGCCCTTGTTGGTGGGGTAGGGCGGGGGGAGTCGGAGAACGGCGCTAGTCGCGTAGCTCCATGTAGCCATCATGTCCATCATGCACCTTGTCCTTTGCTCGAGTCCTTCTTTCTCATGCACCTCGCTGTTTAGACTTTGCTGGGCCGAGACCTTTTGATTGATTCATGTTTGGACGACTCAATCAGGTTGCTAGACAACTGTCTCGTCCATTGCCCAACTTTGCGCACCGGCCTGCGGCTTCTTTTGGCCAATCGATAACGTCATCAGTCATGGCTGCACCACAGCAAAAGAGTCTAATCCACACGGCGGGCTGCCTGATCATAGGGGATGAAGTTTTGGGAGGAAAGGTTCGTCGAGAGGGAGAAATTCATGGTTCACAGCAGCTGACGTGAAACTTAGACTGTCGATACAAACTCGGTATGCTAGGGGCGGATCGACGCGGTATCATTGCAGCTAATGTTTGTTCAGGCGTATTTTGCAAAGTGGTGTTTCTCGCTGGGCATCAATCTGCGAAGGATCGAGGTGATTGCGGATGATGAGGGCGAGATTGTTGAGGCAGTCCGACGCATGTCGAAGAACTATGATATGGTGGTGACGAGTGGTGGCATTGGACCCACGTGAGTTGAAAGCGCCATCGCTACACCATGCAGCCACTGGGCTAATGAGGGTCCAGTCACGACGATATTACCTACCAATCGATAGCCAGGGCGTTCGGCTTGCAGTTGAAGCTGCACGAACCGGCGTTTGAGCGGATGAAGCGTCTTTCGAAGCCGCACAAGTCACAGCCCGGCTTTCATTGGAATGTGGATTCGCCTGCGCTGACGGCCAAGAAGCGCATGGTTGAGCTGCCGATTGACGAGTCGTTGGCGGACGAAGATCAAGTAGTCTTTATCGATGATTCGCTGTGGGTGCCGGTTAGCGTGGTTAATGGCAATGTCCACATTCTGCCTGGTGTGCCACGACTTTTTGAAGCCATGTTGGACGGACTGAAGCCCCGCATCCTGCCGCGTCTGACGGACCCGGAGGGCAAAGGGGTGTTGCGCATTCTGATTTCGACGCCACTGGCTGAAAGCACCGTTGCGGGATACCTGACAGAACTTGCAGCGAGGGCGGAGCCAAGGGGGGTCAAGGTTGGCAGCTATCCGAGATGGGGCAAGGACCGCAACACGGTGACGCTGGTTGGTCGGGACCGCGAGTTTATGGAGAGCCTGGTGCCTGAGGTGGAAAAGGCAGTCGAGGGGAGGCGGGTCAGTGTAGAGGGCGAGGACGACGGGGAAACGTCGGACAAGGATTCGTAGACAGTGATGTGGTGCATGCTAGTCAACGTAGTCAACGTGTATGTGTGTAAGTACATAGCATGTAGTATGTATGTGTATATTTATATATATATATATAGCGCAACTAAGGGATGGACTGATGCAGGGACGTGTGGAGGAATGTCAAGTAGTGAGGAAGCAGCTGGCAGTTGAAGTCTAGGCAGCTTCTCGAAGACAGATGGAAGGCCTCAACCGCCACACACGGGCAGCAGACCCTGGCACAGGCACATGGGGAGGGGCGGAGAGATAAGGGAGGGATAGAAGGGGGCAAGGGGGGACGGCATTGCCATGACGAGCAGTGCAGTGTGTATGGAGAATGTTACATGTGTAGTAAAGGATGTGTGTGGTGGGCGGGGCTCACGTGGGCAGTCTGTTTTGGGCGTGGGTAGTGCTGACTGCCGAGTGGTTGGTTCCTGGCACCCCCGCTCTGCCGCTCGACTTACTGTGGTACCCGCCGCCGAGGTGCATGGTCGCGCCCGCGGCTATGGGTGCAGAGATGGGGTTGATGCGTCGACATGGCCTGGACAGAGGGTGATGCGTGTGCATGTGGATGCATGGTGGATGTACACAGCCGGCGGTGGATGAGCAAGTGCAGCAGTGCCAGAGCGACGCTGTCGATATCGTTTTGCGGCAGCGCTTGCTATTTTCCCTATCTTGCCGAACCCACCCCCTGGTGCACAGTAGTGGTTCGCGCGAGGACATTATGGACCCCGTGCCGTATGGTTTTGGGCGCTGGGATCGCATGGAAGCATCGGAGGCAGCCCGTCGATGTGGCGCCTGTATCTCCACGACGCGCCGCTTTTGGCCTCTTTTGCTTGGCTTGCTTTTGGGGCGGCGTGGGCGCGAGGGTGGTAGTGCACAGTGGGTGGTGACGAGGCAGAGGCAGGGCCAGGGAGTGGTGTGGTACGGGCGGGTGTAGTGTAGTGTAGTGTAGTGTAGAGTAGTGGTTAGTAGGCAGGTAGGTGGTATACGTGCGTGTGTTCACACCCGAGTGCATCTTCCAAGGCCATGGACAGGACGAGGGCAGCTGCATGCAGACGCCGGGCCTACTCGCCTTGCAGCCGGCGCATAAGTGAGGTGGTAGAGGCTGGTGGGGACGGGCGACGGGTCCTGTTCATGGGGGGGCGTCGGCGGCGTCGGCGGCGGCGGCGTCATGAAGCTGGTGGTGGCTCTGGGTGGCTCTGGGAGGGCGGTGGTGGTGGTGTGGGCGCGGGCACAGGGCACAGGGCACAGGGCAGCAGCGCTAACGGGCGCGCCAGT